GGCAGTAAGAGAAGGCCAGGCGGACTGTGGAGATGCAGTGGGACACATCTGCGATCCCACACTCGGGAGCCACGGGAGGATCCAGCCTAGGCAACAGCTATGGCAGTGTCTAGAGGTCGCCCCAGGCAGCTTGTATCCAGTAGAAGGGACACAGTGAGGATTTTCTCTGTCTCTGTCTCTGTCTCTGTCTCTGTCTCTGTCTCTGTCGCTGTCTCTGTCTCTGTCTCTCTGTCTCTGTGTCTCTGTCTCTCTCTCTCTCTCTCTCTCTGTGTCTCTCTTTCTCTCTCTCTCTCTCTCTCTCTCTCTCTCTCTCTCTCTCTCTCTCTCTCTTTCTCTCTCTGCTTTTGCTGTCTTCCAATCTAAGTGACTCTGGGGCTGATCTGCTGGGAGCGCAGACGCGCCCTGCACTTCTCACCCACACGACCTGGCCTGGCCCGCCCGCAGTGCTCATCCCTGCCTAGCTCTGTGAGTTCTTGACCAGCCTCTTACCGCCCCACCCTTCCCCACTTCCGTGCATATCTAGCTGGGGCTTTGCAGCTCCAGCAGGAGCCTGGAAGTGTTCTGCCCCTGCCAAGGAAGCCTGGTTTCCTAGCAACCCTCTCCTCCTCCCACCCAGGGAGGGAGCTGTGTCACCCTAGGAGGCAGAGGTGGGAACTCAGCTCTCTCCTTCCAGCCCCCTGCACAGAGCGCACCTGGAAGTCATCAGTATTACAGAAGAGGCCATGCACTTTCCTGGGTGCCTAAGACTGAGCCCTATGGGTAACAGGCAATTCACCAGGGCTGCCCGAAGCGGAGATTTCTATGTGAAAGATATTTAACGATACCACACTTGGCTTATCCTCATCCTAATTAAGAAACAGTCAAGGCAGCCAGGCATGGAGGTGCATGCCTGTAATCCCAGGGGCCAGGAGGCTGAGTCAGGAGAATTGCTGTGAGTTTGAGCCCAGCCTGGGCTATGTAGTGAAACCTTGTCTAAAAAAATAAATAAAGAGAGAAGAAAAGAAAGAAGACCAGGCCCTGATTGCTGGCCTGCCCGTCTCCCACCCAGAGCCACTGCATAGCCCTGTGCCCTTCGTTTCGGTGGTTTTTCCAGTACATTTTAACAGTCCTTAGAGCCACTAACCACACTCCTTCCTCGTGTGTGACAAAAGTCCACCTCCATGTACTAAAGAAAAAGGGGAATTGACCAGCTTTGGTAGCCAGGCATTACTTTTGTATGTATCATAATATTCCAGGTATTTCAAGGTCAAAAATTGGTAAATAGTTTTTGGTATTAAAACCGAAGATAGGGAAGCCATGCTGGGCCTGGGAGGAGTAGCAAAAAGAACAAGAAGCCAACTCACCCTTCCCATAGGCCAACGATGGCACGTGGGCTGGGAGACAAGAACACCCCCAGGACCCCCCCCCCCGCCCGGAGCAACTGGCTAATCCTGAGGACAGGCTGAGCTGACAGTATCTGAGGCACCAAGACTTCAGGCTCCGTGTGGCTGACTCTGTGGACCTGTGGCCCGTGGTCTGGGTATCTACTGAGAGGATGCAAATGTAGCAGGGTAGCAAATATGGGGGTGTCCTTCTGAGAGGATGCAATGTAGCAAATATGGGGGTGTCCTTCGGTCTTGTTTCTGTAATCCAATATCGTTCTCCCTGTTTTGTTCCATTTTATTGTTTTGTTTTGTTCAATTTTCTGTTTTGACTGGTTTCACTCTGCTTTGTTTGGTTTGGTTTTGCTATGTCTGATGCTGTGGGTGACAGTTTTGAAGCTAACAAGAGGCATCATGGTAACCATTGTTGATTTCCTACTGTCCTGTTTTGAAGTCTTGCATCGCTGTCACTATCTTGTTTCGATTGGATCTATCCTGCTTTATTCTCTCTAAAAATGCACTTTCATCCGTTTGTTTTGATTGGTTGCATTCTGCTTAGTTTTGTTTGATTTTATTATGTCTGATGGTATGGGCGGCTATTCTGAAGAAAACAAGAGACATTATGGTAGCCACTGTTGATTTCCTATTTTGTTTTGAGTCATATATGGCTTTCCTTGTTCTGTCCTGGTTGGCTTTATTCTGTTCTATTTTGATTTTATTCTCCTTAAACTAAAAATTATTTTAAAAGGTGGTTAACCTTGGGGGGGCAAAGAGGGCTCTTCCAGGGTGCTTCTGCTGTAGGGTCTTGCACTCATTAAAAGTTTCACAAGGGAGTTAAGTTTGGGGAAACTGATCAATCTGTAGTCCTATAATGTGTGACTGTGGTATAGCCTTCACATTCCAATGTAGGTATACCTATATATAATTTTTAAAATCTCTGTGCAGTGCTAGATCCAATGTTAAAAACAATCATGAAATTTAATAGATTCCCTTTCCTTGCTTAGAGCACTGGTATGAAATTATGCATCAATAATAAAACTGTCCATGTGACTGTAGGCATAAAAGCGTCTGGTCATGCTGGTGGTACATGCCTGGAATCCCAGCACTCAAGAGGCTGAAGCAGGAGGATCATCACGAGTTTGACGCCAGTCTGGATTACATAATGAGTTCAAGCGAGACCCTGTCAGTAAATAAATAACTTCCAGTCAGGCCACTCACAGATCTGACTGGCGGAAGTCAGAGTGAACAGATGGAACCTGGATGCTATCCTCCCCCTGGCGTGGCTCACTGGGTCTCTCCTCACCACAGCAAGGCTTTGTCTCTAGTTAGAAAAGTGACCGTAATGCTTTACTTTCATAGCCTACACCACCATCAGCCCCTGAAGGATAGCTGTTTTGGTACCTTCAAACTCAGCAATCCCACAGAGGGACCTGGACCATCAGCCGGAGGATGCAGCCTGGCCTGGTCCACCCCGGGAGCCAGCGCTCCAGAGGCAGAGACGGGGGATCAGCACTAATTACGGGGCACAGGCAGAGTCACCAGCCCTCGCCTCTGTGACTCTGTGAGTGACGGAGGAGGGAGGAGTTGCCGGAACAAGGGTGCTGGAAAGCCTGCTCGGGTGACAAACAGGTGATAGCTGTCACTGTTCACTATGTCGTGTTTTCCACAAGTGCAGGAATCCAGTGCCACTTCCATTACCTCTGCTGCTCTCCAGCCTCCGGCTTTCTTACGGACCGTTAATAAATAAACGTGCGTGATGACCCAGCCGGTGCTGGAGCTCTGGGAAAGCCGATCAGCCTCCACCAAGTCCATGCGTGTCAGTCTTCCCTGCAGGACTCCTCCAAGGAGGCCGTGAGCGACAGCGAAGGAAGCTGAAGCCAGGGTTCAACCGTGGTTTGGTCATCTACCGTCACTGTGTTAGGCAGGTCTCTCTCTCTCTCCTTCTGCTTGTCAAGTGGGTAAAGTTGGCCCCAGTGGTCCACTGAGATCTTTCTAACCCTACAGGCGCAACACAGAATGAGCCCCCTCTAGTGGCTCATTCAAACAGGAAACCTGTGCTCCTGATTGAAGAGCAGGACAGCTTCCTGGATGGCGCCTATGAGTTGTGTAGGGAACAAGGAGAAAAGGCAGCATGCAGGGACAAGAGGCCACTTCTTTATGCTCAAATCCCTGGAGAAGGGTAAAAGGCTGGGAAAGTAGCCACCAGGAGGCCATGTGTACAGCAGGAGGTGGCAGAAATACACCATCCTTACACCCCCAGGGCTGTGTAGGAATAGAAAACACACAGAGAATGTTTGGAAAGGTGTAAATAACCATGTACAGGGAAGCAATGAAACTAATAACAATGTAACGCAGTAACTATAGAAGGCTAAGGCCTGGTTATCATGTAACAGTGTAACACAGTGGCTACACAATGCTATAACTTCCCTTACTGTGTAACATAATAACTACATTATGCAGATCATAGGAATCACAAACAGGCCTAGGATACTAGAGTAGAGATGGAAATGAGTAAACAAAACTATGCCACACCAAAGGCTTTATTAGGACCGTAGTGTGGTAGAAGGGGGAACAGTGAACTGATTCACTAAGGGATGGGGAGACTGCTTACTTAGAAAAAAAGCGGGCTCGTGCCCATGTGCAGTGTTGGGTTTCCTGTTCAGTTATGGACATGGACCTGGACCTGATTAAGGAAGCATTATGGCTTAAATTTGGGGTGCTTATTAAAAGGCCCGTGTGTTAGGAAGGTGGCTGAATCATGGGGGTGCTAAGCTGGTCAGTGAATTAGTCCACTGATGAGTTTACAGCTGACTTGCTGTTAGGAGATGGAGCCTGACTAGAGGCAAGTCACTGAGGTGTGGCATAGCAGGGTGTGTGTCCCCCACAAGTCTTCCCTCCCGGCTGTCTTCCTGGCTGTCCTGAGGTAGGCAGCTCTCTTCCACACAGGCCCTTCCACCATGCCTTGCTACCTGGGAACCAGTTAGCCAGGAACTGCATCCTCTAAAAATCATGGACCAAATCAACCAGCCTCCTTGAAGTGTTGGGGATTGTGAAAATGACTAGGACAGATTTTGACACCAAGAGCAGGGTTGCTGCCATGATTATGCCTAACCGTGTGGTTTAGCTCCCTTTGGAAGTGGTTTGTGGAGGAGTTTAGGAAGGTTTGGAGACACTGACTAGAGGAAGCCCTAAGCTGCTGTAACCCAAGCTTGATGAGATATTCTTTGTAACTCAGAAGACAAGCGTGCTAATAAAAATGCAGATTCTGTGCTTCTCTGAAAATAAGACCTCACCAGAAAATAAGCACTGGTCTGTACCTTGGTGATGGCCAGTGTCCTGCAGAATATTATACTTCACTGTTATCTTGCTTGGTGTCTAATGGGAAGTAAGGGAAGATGACTGAGGTTGGTACTTTTGATCTCTAATCATCAAGGCTGATTACTCTCCAGGTAGGCCGTATTTTCAGGGAAATGGGCTAGTAAAGACCAGACTCAGGAGTTTTCAGCAGGAACAAGGAGTCCACTGGCATCTGGACTCCATTGCCCTGTGTGTTATGCTCTGGCAGAAAGTTTGTCTACATTTTGCCCACTAACCTAGTTACTTTTCTTGTTGCTGAGACAAACTGTTGACACCCACAAGTTGAATAAGGAAAGGTTTATTTCAGCTCACAGTTTGTAAAGTTTCAGTCCATAGTCGGCCTGCTCCAAAGGAGGGTGGCATGACGGGAGGAACAGTCCATAGCAGAGTATTCAGAGGGCAACAGGTGGCAGGCAGCATGGCAGCCCTTTATATTCCTCTCAGGCTACTTAGGCCTATTGATTTGTGACACCCACACCCAGTGGGACTTCCACTATGCTCACCCAGAACTACGTTAAATCCATTTACAACCACACAACCTCAATCCAGTATCACACACCCTAGTTTCAGCCACCTCTGGGAAGGCTGATATCCAACCCATGTGGATATGAGGCCTTGAGGACATCTAGAAATAAGCCATAACATTCATGTTCTGAGATTCCAGAAGACTGAGATTGAAGGTGGTGGACTAATTAATCTGATGGAGGAAATTTCAAGGCAGCTCAACACTTTTAGGATGTGGTATAGGTACTGCTTGCAGCTTTTAGCCAAATTTATGGTGACAATCAGGAGAAAATGGAAGAGCTGAGTAATTTCAAAAGTCTACAGTTTTATTAGAAAGGAAAAACCTGTAAGTTTGATGCCTTGGAGAGCTTGGTTGTTTAAAAGATTAGTGTTAAAAAGAAGCCAAACACTTTGCATCAGGACAATTTAAAAGATGATTTGAGGGTATTTCAAGACTCACCAAGGCTCTTTTACTTGCAGGCTTAAAAGTACAAAACTGAAAGACTACTTCGCGAGCAGAGCTGTAGGGAGCCCAGATCATTCAGAGCCAACAGTGGGAGAGTTTAACCATTTGGGCACACAGAAGCTGCTGTAGCCATGATCCAAAAGGACCTAACTAGCTAATCCTCAGGCTGGCAGCAGACGCCGGCATCATCCACACAGTACCCAGGAGTTACAGAGTCATGGAGGCTTTCCATCCAGTTTTCAGGAGAAGGCTTGAAGGCCAGGCAGCGTACCTGGGACGGCAGTGCCTGAAGTTGTGAAAGAGAAGCCAGAAGTGCAGCAGAGACCGGGAGGGCTGGAGATGCCAGACATATGAGAGGTCTGCAGAGGAAAGCCACAGAGAGTGAGGGAGGGCACCCCAAGAGAGAAACTATGTTGCTTGCAGCTCGAAATGCAGTAGAGGTGGGGCTGCACAAGCCCGCTGGAGTGCATAGCTCACTACAACTTGCTATGGGTGAAGGATGGGATGTTATACGATTTAATTTTTTAGGACTTTGGTTCTGCTTTGGTCCGATCTCTTTCTGTCCCATTATTCCTCCCTTTTGGAATGTAAACATTTACCCTATGTCACCTTGTGTTGGAATCACTTAACTTCCTTTTTGATTTTTACAGAAGCTCACAGTTAAGAGTTTGCCTTGAATCTCCAAAGAGACTTTGGACTTGGACTTCTCAGCAATGCTGGAACTATTAAAAGTCTGGCCCCTCTTTCAGATGGACTAAATGCATTTTGCATAAATAGATGGACGTAAGACTTTTGGGGGCTGTCTTAGTTACTTTTTACTCATCGCTGAGACGAAATACCTGATGCCCAAAGTTGGGAAAGGAAATTTTTGGAGGTTTCAGTCCATACTCAGTTGGCTCCAAAGCAGGGTGACATGGCAGGGCCCCAGTTCATGGTGGCTACAAACAGCAACGTGGAAATCAGCACGAGAGAGACACACACCTTCTTCCTGCCATTACATTGTATCCTGGCTCCACCCCTAGGTCAGGGTAGCACTGACACCATCAATTCAAGCACTAGACAATGAATCAATCACAAATGTACAATGCAAATACATGAGGCTTGGGGGCCACTGACATAAACCATGGCAGGGACCAAGGACAGAGTATTACAGCTTAGATAAAAAGCCCATAAAGCCTCATGTATTCAGAGGTGGGACTTTTGGAAGATCATTGGATAATGGGGTCCCTGTACTCATCTGTAAATCCATCCACTGATGAGTTCAGAGCTAAATGTGCTTTTAAGAGGTGGAATCTCATCAGAAGAAGTGGGTTACCAGCACTGTGAACTAGAAAGGTGCATACATCTCCCTTCTGGGAACTCCCTTCTCTCTCTCTGCTTCCTGGTCTCTGTGACATGAGTAGCTTTCCTTTACCAAGGCCCCTTTTGCTGGGGCCAGCCAACCAAGAACTGTAACTCTGAGCCGCCATAAACCTCTCCTCCTTTAAGTGAGGTTGTCAGATATTGTTTCCAGCAATGAAGAAAGTGAGTAGGACAGGACAGCTGCAGAGGGGTGCAGTCACCCAGAGACGGTGCTGGGTGGAGTTCTCCGGCATCAACCCTGAAGGAAGCCTGCAGTGGCCAAAGCACAGGTCTCCTGGAGCAGCCACGGGGTATCTGATGTAGCCACAGTCTCCTGAGGGAGCTTTGGGGAAAGGTGCAGAAGAAAGAAGCCCCTCTTGGGGAATGTCAGGTCCTTCTCTGCTGTCTCAGTATTATTTGATATGGCTATAAAAATCATTTTTTAAAAATCTCCTTTAAAGAAATAAATCACCTGGTTAAACAATGATCTCTGCATCTACTGCCATTTCCTGAAACCAGTTCCCATTTTCCCTGTGTTCCCTTTCACTACTGTCTTCTCTCTGCTTCTACTCTGACACAATGATCTGGGACTGTGATGCAAATAAGTGTGGTTTACTATCAGTTCAACTTAGTCCAAAGTGACAAAGAAATGCCAAACGCTAGCTGTGTTGCAGACACGGAACTACAAAGTGTGATCAGAGCTACACTCAATACTCAAACCTTTTAAGAATCACAACAGTAAAAGATACATTGCCGTTCACCCCCTCAGGGTCCTCCTTCTCTTTGCACACACTCGGCCCACCGTTCTTCCCACTTCCCGAAGCAGCTCTGGGGTCAGTGGTCACGACTGTCATGAGCTGTGCTGCGGTGGCTGCCTCGAGGTACTGACCTGATTCACAGTGCTTGCCTTTTCTGGTCATCAGACTTTGGGGAAAAGTATGACGCTGAATATGGTGAGTAAAGTGGACGCAGAAACACCACGATGTTTTCAGGGGTCTGTCTTTCCCCTGGATGGCACTTAGCAGCTACATCCTCAAAACTTTTTTATCATTCTTTGTAAAGACTCACAAAAGAGAACTGTGTGATATCACACGTGTGCAGCGATGGGGCAAAGGTCAATTTTGGTAGTTGGCAGTATGAATAAGGTCTTTATGCCGCACGATAAAGACAAGCATTTAAGCACCCACAACTCTAGTCAAAATAATAAAATTAAAACTTGGGCCAGGGATAGAGCTCAGCGACATAAGCACCTGCTTGTCAAATGCAAGGTCCTGAGTTTGATCCCTGGTACAAAAAAAAAAAAATTAACAATAAAATTAAAACTTGAGTTTTAAAAAGTCCATTTAAAGACCACATTTCAGAGAATGCAACATAAAGAAAGGCTATAAATTCACTGAAACATGGTTCTCTGCATGTTTAGTCTTGTAATGATTTTTGAATCCTCCTTGACAATTTATTCCAAAAAGAGAAAAGTTTTAATCAGGAGAAGCATATGAAATCAGACTCAGAGTGAGACAGATGGAGACTGTGTAGTATTAAGGTAGATGTCTTGCACAGTTAAGAAGCTCCTATGTTAAAACTTCTCCATGCACCCCTCGCATATTTATGAGTGACTTTTGTTAAATATCGCATCTATAGATTCATGGTCAATACTACTTTAAAGTGAAATATATAAAATATTCAAGGCATTTCACCTAGTAAAATACTGATGTACATTAACCAGGATTCCACTTAGCACTAAAATATTTATTAATACAATAATGAATTATTAATTCCTTTATTTTATTCATTGCTTAACATCTCAGCACTTTTGAAATTTAATTTCTTTGAAGAAAATCTTGAAATAAATTTTGCCCATTTATAGTGCTGAATGTCATACCTTACAAAAGTATTGTTCTCCAAAAGGTTTGACTGTGATTTAACTGTGATTTAACTCAAATGATGAAGCTCTCCCACGCCTGCGTCCAGTACAATGTCACATACACAGAAGATAGAGTGTGCAAAGATGAAGTCTTGGAAGGGAAGAAGAAACAGAATAGACAAAAATAGAACGTTAATGGATGGCAAAGGTTAGCATTATGTGGTTAAATTAATTAATAAAACATGATAGAGATTTTTAAACATAAAATGTAGTAGCCCTTTTCTACATATGAAATTCAGATTAATTTTGTATCCTCATTAGTGATAGTAATTTTTTTTTTCATTTTTTGTCTTTTTCTTTTTTATTGGAACCGGGGATCGAACTCACGACCACTCCCTTGCAAAGCAGGCACTTACACTGCTGAGCTAACTCCCCAGCCCCAGTGACAGTAATTTTAAGCATTGGCAGTTATTGTACATACCACATAATCAGTCCTCTGATTAAACAAAGGCGGACAAATTATGTCCATATTATAAAGATTGAGAAGCATCTGGTGTGGGTGACCTCCAAAATCACATAAAGCACGAAATGAAGTCTAAGTTTCTTTTTTTTACTCCTTTTCTACAGAAATCATCACTCATTAAATGGTGAAAATAGAAAACTGAAGCTACATTTTTTAGCCTGGTTGGTCCCCACGGAAATTACCGGACAAGCCAAAAGTCATAGCTTTGGATTTTCAAGTTTTGCAACAACATCAAAGGATATTTTACATTCTTCTTGTGAAAGCGTGGCTGGTCTTCTGTCTTTTTAGATGCAGAGGTCATCTGGGACACTGATTTTGCAGTGAGGTCGGTGATTCGGTTTACTTTGACTTTTGGTCTTTGAAGCAGTGCCTCTGGCCCCTCCGGTTTTTCCCACGTGCATTGTAACTTGGGGCTTGATCTCTCTGAGTTTCCATGAAGGCTGTCAGCCATTGTGATTTTCTGCCGGCCATTTGTAGTGTGAGCTGTAGTGAACAGGTAGCTTATGTAATCTCTGATCCCACGTCAGGATGAATTTTCTCTTTAGAGAGCAGGTAGCTGATTCATTAAAATGGCTCTTTCTCACTAAGTACAAAGCTTGGCAGAGGAGTTGGGATTAAGAAGTGTTCATGACAAGATGAATTTTATATTAAAATAAATGTCAGGTTTCATCAAAGGCCATTTAAGATACTTTTAAAGCTATGTGTTAAAAAAAAAAAAAAAAACGAACTATCACCTAGTTGACAAGAAAGACAAATATTTGGACTTATGTTTCTTTGTTTTATAAGTAAAGAACATACCCCATTATTGGAACGTTTAGAATTTTTACAAATTTTTCCTTAGGGGCCAGGGATTTAGCCTGGTGGCACACAACACCTGCCCAGTAAGCACCAGGTTGTGAGTTTAATTCCCGGTACTAAACACACACAAAAATTTTTTTCCTTAAACTTACATGTCTAGAAAAGATTCAAGTAGAGTAGAAAGGAGGGCATGACTATTAAAAATAAGCGATTAGCAATAAATGAAGTTGTGGTTTTATATAAATTGAGAAGCAGTTTAGTAGGTATGGCTTAACATACTAACGCCAATAGTTAGCTTATTTAAAATATTTCTGAAAATATTGCAGTAAAAAAAGTGCAGTGCTCTTTCTAAGAGGGAAAATGTGTGCACCATGTGAAAGTGGAGACACAGACACAAACCTAAACTGCAGCTACACTCAGGGATCTAAGAAAGCAACTGCAGACGCCCTAAGCCGTCAGCTCTCCCAGCCTGCGTCCGCCGTCCCGGCCAGGAGCTGCTGCCCCAGGGCCTGAGCACGCTCTGCCTCGCCCCATGCTACCTTGGCTGTTGCGTGTGTCCGGCTCACATTTCCCAAGCCCTCTGGCCTCAGCGTGGATGATCCTCCCGGGGGAGCCCTCCCTGGTCCCCACAGTGACCTGTCCTCCTCCTGTGCTTTACGCCTTCCCAAATGGAATTATAGTGGCCACTTCCTGTGTCTGCCACCTGAGTTAGTGCACACAGCTGTGACGCTTTTGTGTGGATGGCTGGCTAGATGGAACCCAGCAGGCAGTGAAGAGTGTCCCTGGAGCAGGCAGGTCACAACGCCTGCCCTTGAGGATACCGCCACCTAGTGGGGGCCTTGGAAATGCAGCTCAGCCCGCCGAGGTTAATTTCAGAACAGTCCCAGCCGCGGTGATGCACTTTGCTCAGGAAGGAAATCAGGCCCTTTTATGCTGGTTTCTGAAGGACCCTCAAGGATTACTGAACAAAGAGGAGAACACAGCAGATGTTCAGAAACCAACTCCTGCAGGAAGGTCCCACGTACTAATCTGGACTGTGGCTTTTATTTTTTATATTATTTTTAGTACGTCTCAGTACCTATGTTCCATTCCTTGTGTGGTGTTTGTATATGTGCTGCCACGAACGACTTAATTCCTTTCTCATCCTTTTTTCTTTCATCTCTTGATTCCCTTCCTGTCTGAGAAACATCTATCTCCACACTTCCTGTCACCCGTTTTTTATTTTGCTCCTTATTTATAGTCTGAGCTTCTCATATAAGAGAAACCTCGTGACAATGAAGCTTGTGCATTTGGTTAACTTCACTTAACACGAGGTCTCAAGCTCCTCCATTTCCCCCACGTGTCCCTGCAGACACACTCAGGCTGGCCTGTGCAGGCCACGAGGCGGGTGCCAGCAGGGCAGTTGGCACTGACGGCCTGGTGCCAGGCAGTGTAGGACAGAACGAGGAGGACCTGGAGGACACTAAACAGAACTGAGGGAAATCTCTCCAACCACACCCAGCGTCTTAGGAAAGTTTTAGCAGGGAAGAGCAGAGATCGAAGCCCTACAGGAGCTGTGCCCTGGTGTGAAGTTTCCCATTCATCCCATCCCGGGGAGCTGGGCAGATGGACATAGCCCCTCTGCCCACCCACCACCTCCCAGAGACTTGAGGCAAAAGAGGAACAAGGGTCCTCGCTCTGGAGCAAACTAAGCAGTATTTCTGGGGGAAATGAAGTTTGAGGAAGTTTAAAGTCCCTCAGGCCCTCCCTAGGCTTCCCTGCCACCATGCCACATCTCATGTCCCAGAGACAATGACCATGTCTGACCCCATGAGGACATTCACTGTGTTTCTTGATCATTCATACTTAATTTTTTTTTGTCTTTTTTGTTTTTATTGGTACCAGGGATCAAACTCATGACTGCACACTTGCAAGGCAGGCGCTTATGCCACTGAGCTAAATCCCCAGCCCCAGATCACTCATACTTACACTCACAGAGGCTCTAGCCTCTCAGGGCTCCTAATGGACGCTCGGACAACAATCTTTGAATGAATGAATGAAAAATAAATGTAAGTGCCTTGGAAGATTTACTGCGTGACATGGTCAGACCTCTGCCACGGAAGACAAATCTAGCGGCAATGTGCTGGTTGACAGAAGAGCAGGATGCAGGATCAGAAGCAGGGCGCTCGGTCAGGAGGGGGCACTGAGGATGGCCAGCAGGGCCCAGTGCTGGAGACTGATGACTGAGAAGAGGGGAGGATATTGCTGATGATTCTGAGAACAGGTCACACACCCTTTTGTGATTGAAAGAGGAGAATCTGGGATAATTCAGGTGACTTTGAAGAAGGGACTGCAGGGAAGAAGAAAGATAACAAGGTAGCAAAATACCCAGAAGTAAAGAGATGGAAGCTTATTCACCGCCTTCTTGGTAAGCACCCGCGGTGAGGGCCAGGAGGAGAACCAGAACTCTCGAGATCCAGCCATGGTGGGACTCACGCAGCTTATTCACTGCCCTCTTGGTAACCGCCCCAGCGAGGGTCAGAAGGAGAACCATTACCTGTGAGCCTACTGCAACGCGGGCTGAAAATCAAGCATCCTCCCCCCTCTCGCCCCCTCCCCCCAAGCTACTGGGGATGGATGTCTCAGCATCTCTTGGGAGGATGATCATATGCAGTATAGCAAATATGGGGGATTTCCTTCTATCTTCTGTTTGAAGGCAAAGGTTGTTTTCACTGTTTTGTTTTGTTATGTTTCTTTTGCTCTATTCAGTATTCTCAATTAGTTTTTATAATGTTCTATTTTTGGTTTGACTTTGCTATATCTAATTGACTGGACAACTATCATGAAGTTAAAGAGATATACCATAGTACCTATTACTACTATCCCAGTATCCTGCTGTGAAATCCTGTACCAATTTCACTGCATTGTCTCGATTGGCTTTGTTCTGTCTTGTGCTGTTGCATTTTAACTACTTTCAAAATAAAATTAAAAAAAGAATAAAGAGATGGGAGGGGAAGAGAGGGTCCAGGAGGTCACGGCTCCATTGAGGCAAAGGTCTGCAGGAGGATTCAGGAAACGGTGCCCGGCGTGAGGCGACCGTGGTGCGCTCCAGGAAGACGCCGGCCTCAGCGCTCTGCATTCACTCATCGCCAGACCCTGGCTTTGGGGAGTTGGGGGTCTCATGGCTGGAGCTGACTCCTGCAGCTTCTTCTCCTAACCCGCCCTCCATTTCCCATCACACAAATTGAAAATCGTTATTTGGAAATTATCACTCAGCTACCTGACGGCTTTTGGGACAGTCTTTTATTTCACAAAGTCTTACAAAGATTTGTTCTGGTTGTGCCAAAAATAAGAGAGAAAGAAAAGAGGAAATGTGTAGTCATCTGGGCTGTTATTTTAGCTGTAATGAAACCAGCATTACTTAAACAATTACATGTGTCCAGGCAATTGGTCTAACCTCTTCTGAAATATGCTAGAGAAAAAGAGTATCAGAGTACTAACACTTTTGTTTAGACACCATACATGCACCAGGCCTAGCAACCTAGAGAAATTGCTCCTCTGCATACTCAGGTTGTACTGTGGCAAGATGAGGGTCCATCACGGTGACAGAAAACCCAAACAGCAGCGGCTGAAACAAGTACAAGTCCACTTTGTCAGGGAAGAAGTCCAGATGTGGCAGCCCAAGCTTGGCCTGCAGACTCACCTCCGAGGGGTCGTGGTCCTGTGTCACACCTGCCCTCCACACCCGTCCCCACTGAAGTCGCTTTGTTGTCTAAAAAGGATGCAGGAGCTACAGCTGTGCCAGTGCTGTGCAAAAACGTGGAAAGCAGAAGACCAAAGGCGCTCCTGAGCTGTGTGCTCCTGCTCTAAGTACACTTCCCAGAAGCCCCCTCGGTATTCTAACAGGCAGGGCTCTGGCCCATCAGCCAGCCCTCAGTCACTGGATATCCGCACGCAGAGTGCAGAGAGGCTGGGACACGGGGTTTGTCTCCAAGACTGGGAGCACAAATGTCCCAGTACATGGAGTTTCTGGGTAATGACAACTGCCACCTGCTCTGAGTGCCAGGTCTCGCTGTGTAAAGTGAGTGGCTCACCTACCTGAGCAGCCCTAAACACATGAAAGCAAACAGGTAGAGACACAAGGCCCAGAACTACCGGTATTTGGCAGCTAATGATGCTAACTGAATCTTCTTTCCTTATGTTGTTGTAAATTTTAATTCACTACAAATACTGGAAAGTGTTGACACTACACATGTATCTTCTTGCATTCAAAAAATAAAACACAATGTTTGATGAATGGAATTTTGCTTTTCATAAGATCGGTGCCAGCACAAGGAAAACTTTTCTTTCAGAAAGTTTCTCCCCAAGTTATATTTTTCTCCTCTAGTTTTATTTATGGAAAAAGACTGCCGTTGCTTTGGTGTCTCTCAGGAAAAATATTTTGTGTCTGAAGAATGGTCACATGCTTTCTGCCAGGGAAAGTCTGGCTGACCTGTGAGCCGGCCGCTCACCTGTGGCTCCCCGCCCACCACACAGTGGTCTCCTCTCAGCCTCTCTGCCCCTCGATCCTTTGCCACATTCAACACCACAGGTTCCAGGTTCGCCCACCTGTGAAAGTCTCCTCTCCCTGCCTTGACCCCATCCATCCTCTTCTGCACGGCTTCCTTCTGTGGCCGCTTCTTTCCGGTTTCCTTTCCCGGAGCTCCTTTTCTAGCTGTTGCCCTGGCCTGCTTGCTTGACCAAGTCTCTCTTTCACATACTTGGACGCCACAGGCACTTTCAACCCATCCTTCAATAAAACTGTGTGCAGGTGACTTCCCTAGGGCTGGCCCCTGAACCCCACATTTCTAACCTCTGTGGTTAAAAATGACTTTTTTTTAAACTTAGGTCTTCCACAGGTTTTCCAAATGTAATGAGTTCAAGACAAAATTCATCCCACTCTCCACCGACTCCAGCTATTCCTCCTTTTGTTCTCTCTGTCTGTGTCTCTAATGCTTACTGAGAAGGGTCTTCCCTCTCTTTAGGTGTGACATGGCATTGTAACCTCCCAGGCACCTAGATGGAGCACTGGGCCTCATGATGGCTCTTATCCTCACATCATGCTGCCTACATCTAATTGTGCATCAGAACTCCACAGGTCTGCCTCCAGCATGCCACCCCTTGTTATTGCTATGATATCTTGAGGGGTCTCTCTGCCATCACTCATCCCACACTGCTACCTCTTTGAAATTCTTCAGTTGGCTGCATTTTTCACAATACAAAACAGAGAATGTTACTTGAACCTTTAAAGTTCACTATGATCTGGAATCAGTCTCTTTGGCACCTGCCTTACTTGGGCCCTAATCCTTTCCTACACAACAAACCTAGAGGCCCATCTCACTTGAGGCCTCCTGCTGCCCTGCAGCCATGGGACCCACAACCTGGCCACATCCTGTTCTTTGAAGGGCCTGGACATGGCTGCCTGCTCCTGAGCAGTGAGGATGGGGGAGCTCGTTCTTATCGTTCCACTGTGCCCAGCACAGCGTCTATGGTGTAGTAAGCCGTCCTCAGATGTTTGCTGAATGAATACTCACTTGGCCCTCGCTTCTGCCCACACCATCTTCAGCTCAAGGTCACCCTCGGTGACTCCTTTCCTCTGCTGTCCTTTCAGAGACACTCAGTTTCCTCACACCTCCTCCAGCCAGCCCAGGGCTTTTTCTTAGTACCTTTTGGGTTACTCAGTCCCCAGAGCTCACCCCTGCCAATCTCTTACCAAACCTACATACCCCTGGGGTTCACATTAGATCCAAGCCGCTGCATTCTGATTGAGGCAAAAAGCCCAGGAAGGCAACATGCATTGCTCAAGGTCACAAGGCTGATGAGTGGCCAAGTTGAAACAGACTGGAGGTCTCCTGACTCCATGTCCACTGTCTGTCACCCTTTGCTGCCCATCCTCCAGGCCCTCAGCCTCAGGCTGTGGTGAAGGACTCAGCAGCAGCAAGCATCTCTCGCTTAACAAATGCCAGTGCTCTGGGGAGTCTGCCTTGTACCTGGACACCTCCTCTGATTCTGGTCACAGCTCTTTTCCTAGCTCCTAAACTCAGACACCAAAGAGACACCTTCTATGCTTGCATATTAAAAGGCTGCACATTTTTCCCAATGTGCTTAATTTCTTTTCTTTTTGGGAAATAGGCTCTTCCTATGTAGTTCAGGTTGGCCTTGGACTCACTGTGTAGCCCAGGCTGGCCTCAAACTCATGGCAAACCTGCTGCTTTAGCCTCCCGTGTGCTAGCAATGCAGGTGTGTCCCCAGTAAGAGGGCATTTGTGATTTTCCAATTAGATAATATATGGAAAAGTACTTTGAAAAACAACATGCTTCCTAAAAGAATTAGGTATTCTATTAATTTATGTACCCATTTATTCCTTCAGGAAATATTTGTGCCAGCTATGCAAAGCAAAGTGAGATTTCTGGCTTTCTGGGGGTTTCTAATGATAAGCTTCTTGAGCCCAGGAGACATGCGTCCCATTCAAAAGCAAAACAAAACCCAATGAGGTCAGGTGTCTCCATTATGTTTTGTCATAGCCCTCTGTGCTTTTCTCCTAGAATTATAATTTCACTTACACAGTGCATAATTAGTTGCCGACTGCCTGCGTCAGTCACTAGCATTTCAGTGCCACCAGCGCAGGTCCTTCTCATGGTTCTGATACTTAGCGCCTATCCTGGCTGAAAATACAGACAAACACCTGAACGGATAGAAATATAAAGGGAGAATCTATTGAATGAAGGAAACACGGTACAATAGAGAGCGATGCAGCATCACTCGCATCCTCTATTAGGCTTCCATAGCACTATGGGGACTTAGGAACACTGAAAGCTATCCCTGTTGGACTGATTTCAAAATAAGCTACTTATACATAAATTTTATACAGGTACCTGCCCCTGGCTTAAGCCGCATTCCTCTCTGAAGCATCAGAGTCGCGTCAGCAGTAAAACATCATTAAAACTGGCTGGATGACTCAAAGGCGCGCGCACAGCCCCACCCGGTCATCCTGGGCTAAAAGGCAGGACGGACTGCCGCGTCCGCTCCGGACAGACGGCACTGCACTTCCGCCCCGGCTCCCGTAGCTCTCTGGGGCGGAGCCTCGGGCCAGGCGACGCGCGCGATGCCGCGCACGCGCAGTGCCGCGGGGGGGGGGGCTCCGAAGCGCTGACAGCTTCCGGTTCAGCTTCCCCGCCTCCTGCGCGACTGACGCGGCTCGGGCTCTGTGGTGCCGGGCCGGGCGCTGAATGCCCGAGTCGGCGTCCACAGCCATGGCCTGTTCCATTGTCCAGTTCTGCCACTTCCAGGACCTCCAGGCCGCCCGGGACTTCCTGTTCCCGCAGCTGCGCGAGGACGCCCCCAGCGGCGCCGCGCCGAGGGACCCGGGTAAGCGCCTGGCTCGCGGTCCCCGCCTCGCGGGGCGCGTCCCTGTCTCGGTCCGCGCGGACGCCTACCCGGGCCGCTGGCCTGGGCCCCGCGCGCCTTGCCGCACCCACCAGGCTCCTGCCCCTTCCCCTCCCCCTTGGCGGCACCCCAGTTCCCGACTGCAGCCCCGCAGCGCGTTCTCTTTCCGTCCGAGCGCACGTCAGCCTCCTCCCCGGGATCCCTGCCCTGTCTCGTCCCGACACTCGTTCCACACCGTCCCTCATCCAGATGTAAGGCCCACCTGGCCCCTGGCCGGAGAGGGACTGGGTGGTGAGTTCACTTCACCCAAGCAAGAGAAAGAACCTGCTGAGAAGTGAGCGGGAGGCGGCAGTGGGACTCACATGACGGGCGTGGCCAAAAGAAGTTAATTTGGCTTTGCTGGGGTGAGGAGCCGTCCACCTGTTAGCATCATCAAGCCGTGCGAATAAGCCCTTCCTCTCGCTTAAGTATAAGTTCCCAAGGCCATGCCATTAGCTGCCCGTAGTTCCTCAGATTTTCCTACGTTTCTCCTCTTGGAAGAGTGTGTGTGGTACCGTATGTCACCTTGTACTCTACTGGAATGGTGAAATGTAGCCTACAGAACAAGCTTACCTTCCAGACATCAAAAGATACTAATAAAAAGTACTGTGTCAGTCATTGGTGCAACAAACCAAGTAGAGTGAGTAGTTTCTGCCCCCTAGGACCTTATGGTTCATTGGGAGAGATGAACAGTAACTACTGGTGATGACACCCAGGAAACCTGCCTTCGAAGCACAAGTGGAGGGATAAGGGAAAATAATGGCAGGTGCAAAGGAAAGAAGGAAACCTGGAGTGGTGTGATATTTAAAGAACTAAGAAAAGCTCAACAGCTGGAGAGAAGGATGAGAGGAAGAGGGGGCGAGATGAAGCTGTAGCACTGAGAAGGAGCTGGATCAGCTAGAAGCCTTGTAGGAGTTGTTGGCTGCCTCTGAAAGACGTCAGACAGAGAAATGGAGTGGTCAGCTCTGCACACCGTGATCAGAATTTGTCAGATTCTGGTAATGTGTTCTGGCAGTGATGTGGCCCAGACAACAGGAAGCAGGAACCTTGTGGGGAAAGCTGTCCCAGTCATCCAAACTAGAAGTGACGTGAGCCTGGAGTAAGCGTTGGCAGGATTTGAGAGCAAGGGCTACTGCTCTGCTGGGTCTAACAGGGCTAGTGACAAGTGCTGGCTGGTGAGAGGTGGGGAGTTCAGGGTGCCTCTCTCTTGAGCAGGGGAGTGGAGTGAAGGCATTTGAACCTTTTGCATCTTAAATATTTGTGGTAGGTTGACAAACCACAAACAGCTGAACAGTAGATAGAGAGGTGAAAAACTTGGTAGTGGGCCCCCGAGCCAGGGATATTGATTTCAGAGTTATCAAAAGTGTCATTCCAATCTCAGGGATCATGTGTATTGTGAAACCATCTCATTCCTAAACATAACCTTTAAGAGGTGATTAAAAGTTTGAGGAAGACTGAGGCATAAAGGAAGAAACCAGATGATAGGGTTGCCTCAGGAGCTGAGGAGGGAGAAGGTTGGGTGCAGGTGAGGAGTGGGGAGCTGTCTTACAAACACAGCAGAAGTCAGATTAGGATAAAAAGGTGTTCGTTGGTTTTGGGAAGGCGAAGGTGACTGGCACTGCAGGACAGCTAAGGTGGAATGGCGGGGACCTTTTCTGTGAGGAAGTCGGTTTAGAAATGAAGGCAACTGCCCCGGGAGCTTGGCTGTGAAGGGGGACAGCAGCAGGATTAGAGACAAGGAAGAGAGAAAGGAGCGCACCTTCTCTGGCCACTGCCCTTGCCTGGCCCTTGCTGCCTGCCGCTTTCTGGCAGCCCCAGGCCTCTGCACCAGTCTCCTAACATCTTCAGGCTTCCACTCTTGGCCACCTTTGCTTGTCTTCAGTGGTAGTCAGAGAAACGTCTAAGACAAGGTGGATCGCAGCTTCCCTCTCTGCAACCCTGTGTGGCTTTTCATGGCTTGAAGGAGAAAATCCCCACATAGCTTATTAGGCCCCAAGGCTCTGCCTCCTGCCGCTTCTTGGACCTCATGTTCCTGTCGTCCTCCCGCCCCTCCGTTTCTTCTCCTTCACTTCTTCACTCCTTCATAAGCCAGAGGAGCCCATCTGCACCTGCGGTCTTCACCTCACAGTTTGCTGTGCCTCGGGTGCTGGTGGCAGACCTTGCATGCTGTGGCATCTTGTCGTTGGCAGCTCAGCTGGCCCGTCACCTCCTCGGGGCAGCCTTTTCTGATCACCCACCTAAGGCACCCAGTATAACCCCTTCCTTCCACTGCTATTCCCAATCACACCATCCTGCTCATTTTTACCACCATCTACACTGTCTAGTATGGTGGCAGTGAGCTGCACGGAGCCCTTGAAATGTGGCTGGGGCAGCTGAGGAACTGAACATTTAGTTCCTTGTGAATTCAAATAGTCAGATGTGGATGATGACTGGGATGTGGGGTGGCACAGCTGTCAGTGCTGAAACTCAGGCTCCTACAGATTGAATGCTTGTCTGAGGCCACAGAGTATAGCAGACCCCAGACACTAACGGTCCCATCAGCGGGGGTGGTGGTAATCATGTTGCATTATCGATATTAATTTGCATTCTGTTATATGCTAGTGACTAATAGTTTATCACTCTTAAAATCAAATTCTTACGTTTATATATGTTGCTGCTATTGTGCCTGCCATCATTCATGTAGAAAATAAATAGGAAGAAACTCAGCAAACCCCTTTGCAAAACGTATATTTTAACCAACATTTAAAATGATGTATTAAATTACAAATAAAAATTGGAAAAATAGCTTGTTACATAGTTTACTTGAGATTCTTAGAATAACCGTGGCTTTGGATTTCTATAGTCATCTTTGGCTTTTACAAAGCTGGTTTTATAAAGAGCTCTTCATTAAGAAAATCTGAACTTAAACTTTTGTTATAGCATAATTTTAGAAAGTAAAAATGAACTTGGAGCTCAGGGGCACAGTTCAGAGGTACAGTATATACTGCACTGTACCTCTGCACAAAGCCCTGTGTTCAATCTCCAGCACCCTTACCACTACCAAAAGAAAAAAGCAGATCAGGGAGGACCTCAGGTAAACTGTTGCTGGTGTGGGTGGTTTTGCTTTTCTGCACCTTATTAATGTTATGAATGGTTACTTTTTTGAGAAACAAACTCTTGAGATAATTTTAGTTTTTGTCTGATTCAGTTTTAATTTGTTAATGCAACTGGCGCCTAGAGAATATATAAAAACCAGAGAATTATACAAGCTGATCAGCTATTAGTGGTACCCATATGGAGCACCCAGAGTTTGATACCACTGTCTCCCATTGAACTTGAGAATAACAGTGTCTTTACTTTACTTTGTACCCTGTGTATTAAATTTTAAATGAGTGGTATGTAGCTTCAAAAGATCTTGATCGCTACTTTTCCCAATGTTCACACCAGTGTTAACTACTAATGGTTGTTTCTATAAATCAGGTAGAATTTTAGACTTGAAATCTAGTCTTACAATTTTGAAATTGTAGGATTGCGTATTATTAGTACGAGTCCCTTTTTATGAGTCCCTGTTGGAGTCTGCCTAGGTCCCCAATCCCCCAAACAAGTGCATGGCAAAGGCCCAAAGGAATGAGACAGGCAGCGTGGCCTTTAGGACTCCAGGAGGACTAAAATCCTTTGCAGAGTTCGTAACTGCTAGCCGGTGGCTGACTGACCCTGGGCAGCCCGTATTTAATCAGAACAAGCAAGGAGTTGAGTGGAAAACACAGGAAACCTGAGCAGGATCTTGGGCAGAGTTCAAGGACCCCTGGGAGCATCAGAGGATGCTAATTAAGGAAAACTATCCCGAAAGGCTCCAGGTGGCCTCAGCTGTGCCTGTCTTGCCCCTGAGGTGTCTCCTCAGTTCAGCCATGTCCAGGCCATGCCACAGCCCTGCACTCGTACTCGCTTCGAGGGCTCCAAGCCCCCACTTAACTGATGGTGATATAATTTCCAGTGAGACTAATTTCTGGGTCAGAGCCTTGTGAAATTGACATTTGAGTTGGACAGTGAATAAATATGTGTGCAGATGGAGACAGAACATTTGGTCATACCTTTAGTTTTTTAATATTACATATCTCTTTAACTTGCCTTATAGTAAAATAACTTCCTGTTGGTGTACTAAAAATATAGAACAGCTTTCTTCTTACCTCTTTTACCAAACAAATAGAAGATAGGGCATATAGCAAATAATATTGGAGTTAGGAACGGATGTTATGTTTGTATGTGATCACTGATGAAAATGCTCTTGTTGCTTGACAGTTCTTTCAACACAAATGTATGTGTCAGCTCCTGTCCATCACGTATCTAGTACTAGACGCGCCCCTAGCTACCTGGTGACCAAAAATATTCTCATATGTTCTTTTAGTTGGGCTTTAGAATTAGGTATTACGTTCTAAAACAAAGCCAAGGCCATGCTGTGTTTTTGATGAACATTGTCTTAAGTTTAGCTATTAAAGAATGGTTGACATTTAGCCTTTTTTTCCTTTAAGCCAGATATATTGGTGGATAAAAATTGTGCATACTAATAGTATACAGTGTGAAGATTTGATTCATGATTAGATTGTAGTTAATGCATCCGTCACTTCACCTGCTTCTGAGTTCAGCATTTTTCAGTTCTACATATAAGCTAGGGCATCCAGTATTTGCCAGGATATTTTTCTTTATATCTTTTGTGTCCTTTAGCAGTCTTTTTGCTGTGCACATAAATTGTATATGTCTAAGATATATGTGTATAGATACATTATTAAGTTTATTTTTCTTGAGGGGTGTGGTGGCTCACGCCTGTAATCCCAGCACTCAGGAGGCTGAAGTGGGAGGATCGTTGTGAGTTCGAGACCAACCTGGGCTACAAAGGGAGCCCAAGGCCAGCCTGAACTGCATATCGAGACACCGTCTCAAAAAAAAAAAAAAAAAAAAAGACAACA